CTTCATTTCGCTCTTTTATCCAAATGGGCAACCAAAGACAGCAACCAAAACCGGAGCACGAAAGTGCATGGTTAATGGTTGTAAAAACTGAAAACGACACCCAGCCCGGCCATGATGAGGCTTTTAGAAGTAAGCCTTGTCCGAGAAATGGTTGCTTTATTGCAAACCATCTGTAATACCGAATTCATTCGATCCGAATGGAGTTTGTTGGACGTCATACATGTTTTAAAGAAGAGTCCCCGCCACGATAGCTCCAATCAACGAGGAACTAGTCTTATTTCCGGTGCATACAAAGTGACCCCATCGACCATGCTTCGTAGACTTAGTTTCGTAAGAGAACGTCATATGTCAGAAACAAGCTGGATTCCGCTCCGGACGGAGCTGCGTTGATCACATTTTCACTCAAAGTCAGATTCTTGAGCGAAACATTCAGTAGACTAACCATTTTTGTCTGTTTGGACATATATGCTGTTTTTGACTCAGTTGACAGATCTGCCGTTAGGTTGGTCTTTTAGGAAGTAGTGTAGCTGAGAGGTACCCGAAGGTTCTTGAGGCCGTCTACTCAAAAACATCAGGCCGCTTCAAGGTCTATGAGTGCATCTCCTCTTCATTCACTACCATAAGAAGAGCAAGACAAGGTTACTCAGTTTCCCCCTTTCTCTCTAATTTCGGAACGGACAAAATTCTAGAAAACTGCAGGCCATCCCAGATGATTGACTTCGTGACTCGGAACAAGCAGACGATATCGCTATACTCAGAGACTCCTCCCAAGAGGCTCAAAACGTCCTGTGCACGTGTACGTTGGCCGTCAAGCAGTTTAGCATGACCTTTTCTCCAACGAACTTTGAGCGTTTGTTAAAAGACTGGAAAGAGTCTCCACCTATCCTTCCGCTCATGAGTGATCAGTTGGAAATTGTCGATTATTTATCTCGGGGCATTCCTTCAGTGCAAGAGGACTGAGGAAGGAAATACCAGTGCGTATCCGCTTTAGAACAAAATTTCTGGAAGAGCACGACCAGTTTCGCGATTGTTGCTGCTCAACAACCGGTTCTGTATTATTAAGTCACTCATAGACTTGTCCTCCGGATGTGTATTTCGTCTATAAATTTGTGATTAGCGGCTAAAGAGGTATCGTTCCAGACACGATTATCTGAAACCGAATGGAGTTTGATGAAACTAGTACCATCTGACCCACACAAGTAGCCCTGAACCAGGGCAATGATTCATAAATCAACTAGGTGATATTCGAATCCAAGCATTCTTTAACTTGGGCCCAAACATCGTTTACAGTCTGTTCATTATTAAAATGAGTTTACTAAAAACAGGTAATGTGGGAGTTTGAAAAAAGAAGCTTGTGATTCAACTGAAAGTGGAAAGAATCGTAACACTAGCATGAATGATTTCGCCTCGAGTGATCATGGAACAGACGAAAACAGAACAGCTCATTGCCCAACATTGTTGATTTTCTGACAGTGCGTAGGAAGGAACCTACAGTAACATCTGAGGGCTGAGAGGTTCCGGTATGAACACATTCTGGACTTCCTTCGTACGTTTGAATCGGATTCTTTTGAGTCCATAGATAGTCTAGCATTTACCGCTGTTATTGAAAAGAGGAAAAAAACCTGGAATCACGATAACCAACTTCGTAGCTTAACCAGTCAGCCATTCAGGCACTGAGACTTGACACGTTCAGACGCATAAAACCCATGAAGACGAATGGGACGACAGTCGGGTTCAAACATAGAACCCGACTAGTCGAATTGTACTTACAGCGGCTTCCATTTTTCGAACAATAAGAGGAAGGTGAAACAGGCTTAGCGTTACAGGTTGCATCAAAAATACACAGCAAGATTAGGAATTATTTTTTATCAGCACGAAGAAAAGTCGGCCTTCAAACACACCACTGGGGTCGGAGGTGGGTATTTCGTTGCAACGTTTTCATCATCAGAACCTTCGTTCTTAGTCTTAGCTAAGAAGTCCCATCCGTTGCCTTCACGTGGAGGGAACGTTTTCACCAAAGTGAAGGGGCGAAAGGACCTATAACCAGTAGAGTAATCACAGACAATTAGCTCGTGCATGGTATTTGACAAACCTTGATTACACATCACCGGTGATGAGGCAGACAAATCGCAGAGACTACGGGATATACGGGCCCTGGCCCAATTCGACAACCGGGTGGATCAGGTACCACAGACGTGAGAGCCACGTTCAATGGGTAAATGATCCAATCGACGGCGAACTGCGTTTAAGTGGATCGCGGACTTTAAGCATCGACCCACTGCCTTCTGGGTTGGACCAATCTGTAAAGACATCGAAGAGAGGTTTGGTAGGTCAATCTCCTACTGGGGCTCGTTCGAAAGGGGAGGGCAACAAATCACAACAGTGGTAGGAAGAAGGCAAATGTGCCATAACTTGCGATGTTTGTAGCTGTACCTTTTGCTTTGTATTCCTTTGAACCCTTACCTGTTTCTGAGAGATGGTTGTCAAAACGAAAACACAAAACATGAGAATTGACTCACGAAGAAGAACCCACTGGTGCACTGAACAACTCCACGTCTTCCATGGCCTGTTGTACATCTGGGCGCTGACGAAGTCGCCGAATCAACTCCAACTGAGCTGCGAAAAAAGTGGTAGAAGCCGATGGAGAAGACATGAAAATTTTAAAAAAGTAACTACTCTCATTTTGACGAGCAGCATAGAAATCAGACCAACTCGTCAGAGAAGCAAAAAAAATAGGAAATGACATCAAAACTCTGAATTCTGTCTAGTTTACAACTGGGAAAAAGCCCTGCGCACCCGATAACTGATGACTAAGTGATCACAAGAAATCAGGGGTGACCTGTAACGAAACATATCATAACAATAAGACACAGATGATAAACAATTATTAGGCATTCGCAATGCTAAACTTACGGTAATAAGTGAAGCGCTGCTTATTCCATTAGATCACCTGAATTTATCAGCGCTAAAGGTTTTGATACCATCAATCCACTTACCATGGAATTGATCAACTTCCGTATGTATTTACACCTTCATTTAACATAATTGATCGACCCGACCTGTTCTATGTGTGCTTCATTGTTTTATGTCAGTGATTCAGAAGATATTAAATATATATAAACCTTTCGTGACATTTACCTTTTTCTGTCTTGATAATCAAGTTATACCTCAAAGAGCCTATTCGTGACCTTCACGAGATTAAAAAGAAGTACACCTGAGAAATAACAACGAAAGTGAGCTACGAGTATATTTTGAATAGCAGGATATCGAATGATGAGAAGGCGATGCAACATAGAATAATGACNCTGAAGTGTCTTGGAAGCACTATGGTCAGCTACGACTTGGACATTGTGAGCAGTGCCTTTGCACCGCGAGTGTGTAACGGCTTCGACCCGGAATGAACATGGCTTTGAGATAATTCCCGAGGCTGCTCCAATAGTCTGTTTCGCACCAACATATCGTTTATGGACACACATTTTCTCAGACAATCTACAATAACTGCACAGATAACGTTGCATTAATTAGTGTGCCTTAATTCATTTGCCATTGGGCCTTATGTGGATCACCACTCCAAGTTCCGGGATTTAGGTTGCCGGTTCTCAGGAGTGAACACTAGGACCTAGTGACTATAGAGGTTACTCCTTCTACTGTTCATCAGTCAATAGCATATAATAGAAAATTTCAATAGTACGAAGATAATTGATCACAAATGGAATTGTGCGACGTCTACTTAGCAAATTTTACAGCCTCCGAAAGCATCCTAGTCCGCTGAGTGTGTCTTAGGTCGTGGCCGGTTACCTTTCCCGTGCACCTCGCGAAATCCTCCTATACAGCCAGGGACCTCAAGTAGCCTCTGCGGAGAAAGTCCTGCTTACTACCTTCCCGTGGCAGAGGTGTATTCCCGCCAAAGTGAGGAGGTGGAAAGCCAATATCTGGGGCTATAATCGGGTCGGTGAACCACTGACACTTCACTTAAGGGGAGTTGAATAAAAACCCTGATTCCAAACGGATCAAGAAGAGGAATACGAACCACATCCATAAATTTCTGGTTTTGGTGGTCGATAGGTGGCGTGATTGGACCCGTCCAAAGATCGGTTTTTACATGATACCCCACTACCTTGAGGGTCAGGCTGCCGCTAGCCAAGATCTCTGTGAAGCCCCATAAAGGTTCATTCGTTTTGGACAAGGTAGTATAGCCTCAAGAGCAAATCACAGAGTGATTTCTTTGTTATAAAGATTGTTATACCGTAATTTGTTTGGCATATGGTTGAGATTCAGAAACATGTCAAATACTTTACAAGGATGCCGTCCTACGAACCAAGCAACCAACAAGAATATCACCGTAATGTAATGATGCATGATATTAGCTTACCGTCATTTTCACCTGCTTTGGATTTCTTTTTGTTGGGAGACGATGTGGAGTTTGTCACCGAATTTTCTGCCACACGTCGAAGTAACCGATGAAGCAGGCGTTTCTGGGCGCGTTGGGCTTTGTCGCCCAAATGATCTCGAAGCTTACGCCTCTCAGCCTGGAGAAACGAATGTTTTAAAGAGTGANGAAAAATGACACAGCACTAGTAACGTAGAAATGTGACTGAATCATCACTCTCACGTTTGGCCGTGCGACCATTAAAGAGAACCAACAAAGACTTCACATAAGCATCCAGTTTCGTCAGCCCAAGCTTTTATAATATTCAGTGTCAACAAACATGGCGTTCAGTGATCAAACCTTGAGCATTCTGTGTGCATGCCGACACTCCATCTGTGATGTGTCCGCCAGGTAGGTTGTCGCTGCCCAAATAACAGAATTAGTTCACTTCCTCTACTACTTCCCAAGTTGGAGTGAATCTGAGCAAATCCGATCTTGCAGCAACCTTTTACAAAGTGAAGCTGTTAAACGAATGACGAACATGGCCAGACTCGCACACAAAACTACCCAGAAGATCTGAGAACTTAAATGGAACGTTAAAAAGGACTTGATGATCAATCATCCCGATGGGCTATAGCTCATACATTTTACTATTATTTCGACCCAACTGATAACAGGACCTATACATTCCAATCAGAATGACACGCGAGGGATGATTGGAAAGTGAGGGGGAAGGTGGTGCGATATACATCTCGGTGATATCATGGCCTATGAGTGGACGAAAAATAGTGCATAGACAAGGAGAATACCCAAGTATGGCATATAGAATTGATCTGGTCTTTTTTGGCCACTCCACGTTCAAGAGGATTTATATATTTTAGTCACTGGGTTGTACTTGCAAGCACGTTACAAACTTCAGTTATTATTCCAGTGATAAGATTTGTCCGTTAGAATGGGGCTTTGCTTGTTCGACTAAAATCCAACGACAACTCATACAGCGGTAAAGGCTCACTAATTGAAGAAAGCTACGGATAGGCAGTCACCAAGAACAGGCGGTGGTGACAACGGGGTTGAATTCACGGAAATTCGAGTATAAACCGCTGACTTGAACCGCTCCAACACCACCACTATCACCCACTGCGAGTTCCACATACCGTCTAATCTTTCACATTCGAGGGAAGCAATGACCACTTCGCACAGCGTTACCTTGCGTTTACATCCATGACGTACAGAATGCCTATATTGGTGATTTAATCTAATCTTAGTTATGCATTTATTTTTTGTGACTAGTGAGCAGCAGAGAATATATTGGACAGAACTTACCATAGTGTTTCGTTTCATTGTTGGTACCTGGCCATCGAACACAAACACCGGCCGAATACCAAAGTAGATCAGTTTGCACAAGCGGCGAAACAATATAGCCAAATAAGTTCGTGGTCCGGCATTGGCAGCCCGTGATTTCACTGCCTGATGAAGCCAAATATTCATATCTGAGGTGAATGGAAAAATGCAGTCCCAATAGCAGTTCTCCAGGAATTTAAGCGATAAAAGCAAAGCGATCATATTGAGTGAGCGTGGTCAAAGTCGTCAGTTACTGTATTCTTCTGAATATTAAAATCATACATTTTCATGCTCAAACAGAGCGCAAATGGCTGTGTTCGATTGTTACTACTTTGATTTCCGCTATTCTGAGGTCGCTTCAGCGGTGCCACCCACCCCCTGTCCTTTAGTCGACCATCTCGTTCTCAGGCGGGCAGTCACCTTCATCAAGTTCTTGTCCACAGTTCTTTTGTGGAAAACTCTTCTCATTTCCGCATTTCTGAACATTTAAAATCCGACTACTTTTAAAAGCAGGATTGACGAATTGGTTTTCACCAAGACCCGAAACAGATCGGGTTAGGTTACTGAGTGGCAAAATCAGAATCAGCGTAATCAATGACACCGATTGATATAGCTGAGTACCCTACACAGTGGCGCTCGTGCATCTATCTACTCACTACTCCTGCAACCTCGTTCTTCATGAATCCTCTATTTTACTGACAGGTTTGAAGAGTCTAAATCATTCTAGGATAAAAAAGATTCCATATCCGAATGTGAAATAGCTATGCTACATCCTGCTCATGTAAAATCTAGTATCTTACGACGACAAATATTTGACACTGATGATCGAAAAACAAATTCTCCGGAGGAAAGCAGCCACGCAAGGTATGTGGCTTCAGATAGTATCATTGCAAAGAGCCATGCCAATCTACAATAACGCGTCAGTTTTGTCCGGTTGGATGATAAGTGGTATCATACATTCATTCTCAAGATTTCACGGTTGTCCTTTGGCTATCATCTGGGTTCAACATCATTATCGGCATAATGTGTAATAAAGCGTAATAAAGGGAAGTGAACTTCACTGGCCGCTGCCAAACTCATAATGCATACAAGATAGGTGAGAATGTGCAAGGAGGATAGGGATTGGACTTAATTTTAGGGACGGAAAAAGAAAGCGAACCTCTATGGTCAACACACAGAGTACACAGTCTAACTGTGCATACACACTCGTTCAAACATGCTGATCGAGTAAGTGACAGCAAGATAGCCATCGCTGTCGGTGCGATGTCACGACCTTCAGTGTCTCCAACCAT